GGCGATGTTGTGAAAACGTATTCCTAAAATATAGTATTTTGGATGAAAAATGAAAAGAATTTTATTTTAATCTAAAACTTATATGTACGTTTGTCGAGCATTAATCTTGCTAGAAAAGGGGAAATATTAAAGAAGCCAGGTCTAGTGTTCACCGTGCTTGAGATAGATATTATGCCTGCCTCATAAATCCGCCTAAGATTTTTATTATGAAAATATTTTAAAATCTTCACAGAATCTAAATCGAAATTATGATCAGATTAAGTAATTGCATATTAGGATTTTTGTTTGTTTTTTCCGTATATTTTTCTTCATACTTAAGTCTATAGGTGGACATAGATCGGGTTTATATTTGAAACCATATACTTGAATACATAGGTCGTATGTATACTTAGTTTTCAAGGTCGTGGTTATGTCGAGTTCCCAGGTTGTGGTTTTAATTGAGTCTATAGGTCGTGGTTATAGTTGAGTTAATATGGAGACATAGGTCGGGATTATAATCTTTATACTTCAGTTAATAGCTTATGTTTATACTTAAGTCAATAGGTCATGGTTATACACGAGTCCTTATGTTGTGTTCATATGTGTCAGTAGTTCGTGCTTATACTTGAGTCCAAAGATTGTGGTTATACTTTACTCCATAGGTTGTGGCCATACTTGAGTCCATACATCGTGTTTATACTTGAGTTCATAAGTCTGGGTTATACTAGAGTTCATAGGTCGTATTTATTATTGTGTCCACAGGTCTTGATTATACTTGAGTCCACTGGTCGGAGCTATACTTTTCATAGGTCGTGGTTATACTTGAGTCCGTAGTTAGATATAGCTCCTGTTTATACTTGAGTCAATAGGTCTTGTTTATACTTGTATGAAGTTAAACGCTGGTCGGATTCATACTGAAGTCAAAGAGTAAACATATTGGTCCGGTTTATATTCAACCTTGCAAGCATCCATAGAAAGGTTGTCCCATTTGGAGAGGTTTGACGCCTCATCAGGGTATTCAGTCCGCTTCTTTTAAGTCCTCTCCTGGGTATGACGATAAACTACATCCGGCAGCAAGGCCTCTGATACGGAGGTTTTGAGGAGTGTGGAACCACTTCTTAATTGTTGTTCCCAGGTCTACCCTGATCCGGCGTGGTAGCATCTGTTAAGGTCCCAGCTATGGGAAAATCGTGAACACACTATGAAAGTATAAAAATAGATTTTATAGTAAAAATACCAGGAATATATTTTTATATAAAAAGGCCCAACAATGCATATTTATAGTAAAATGACCAACAATACAATTTAAAACAAAATAACCGCTAAGACATTTTATCTCTATTTGAAAGTATACAATTGCGTTCAAAGTATATTTAGCTGAAGCCATAAAATTGTGTTCAGATTATTTAGATTTTGGCATTAAATAACCCATAGGGGTGTTGATATGCCGCCAAACAAAACCAAACAACCAAAACGAAAAAACTTTTTCATAATATTAATCTATATAATATCTAACTCTTTCTTAACGAAATCAATGTATATTCCAAAATATAACTTCAACGAAACTACAACATAAAACACACGTATCACTGCCTCTAATAGTTACTTACGTACGTGTACACACACATACATATATATATATATATATATATATATATATATATATATATATATATATATATATATATTAATTTTCCTCCTTTAGAAACTTTACAGTGATTGCTTGCAGCGTACCATTACTGGCAATAAGAGTTACAACTTTTTTCCTGCTATTGTTTGGACATAAAAGAAGAGTGAATTAAGAAGAGTGAATTATTGAATAATTTCCATCCACAGTCTGCTTTTTGCGAGCCATCATGGCATGTAGTGACGAGAAATTTGGTCAAGTTCTCTTTCAGTGGAATAGAGTTCAGAGAGAAATGGATTCAGGTTTTTTCCAATGGCATTCGTGTGAACGGATAATAAACATTCCCAGCTAGGATTTGAATTAGATTCGCTAATTCCATTTTCAATGTCGGTAAATTACCTTTCACCTTTTGTTGTACAGATATATACTACTGAATGTATTTATTTTCGTTTGTTAGACGTATAAATATTTAAATTGGTAAAGATCAAAGATGGTAAAACTTGCTTAATGCTAGAATCACATGTGATAAATTTACTGCATTTCAAAGCCAGAGACTGGTGTAAGAGAACACTGTTCTCGCTAGATCACTTACGACTGTGTAGTAAGTTCGAATCGTCCCTGGGTGCTTTTTGCTCTTTTGCGACTTCTAATCTATGCTTCGCAAATCGCTTTTTGAACGCTTAAAAACAAGCAATATCTGCTTATTTTTTTTTATTGTTACGTACACATTTTAGGATAATTTTTTATATAGTAACAAATACACATACACAACTGTATTTCTTCGATGTATTTAGGCAGTAGATTTTCGTTTATACAAATTTGCTTAAATACCAGCGAAATTTCTTTGTTAAGGTTTGTTTCTATGTTTCGGACCATTTTATTTACATCCGGTGAAGTTTTGAATATAAATTGTCCGATGCCTGAGTACTTCCGGTTTTCATAAACTATTATCAAAGCCAAGGTTATTAACCAAACTTTTATAAATCGTCTTCATTCATATTTGTGATATTCCGAATTACCTTCCGAACACATAAACTACATCTAAAGATTTAAAAACTTATGATTCCAAACCGTATGTTGTACTGAAAATTGAAATGAGACACACACGAGTTTGATTCAGTTCAGGATTATTTATTTCTGGAACGTTTTTTCAGAAACTCAATTGTAAACTCTGATTCATGAATCTTCCTTATACTGTTTACATTATTCGGACAATTGTCCTCATCTTTTCGCCATATTTATTAAAACGTTTCGACCGTTGTACGCTTCGGCCTTCTTCGGGTGGTTGGAATGTCGAACTGAACCCTTTATTTCCCACGTTGGGGTAGACTGTTCTAGTTCCACGTATCATGTTTAATGAATGTCAGTTATCAGTTATCTCCTCCTCTCTAAGTTCTCCACGGCCTTAACCACAATCACTTCGTAAACTTAAGAAATCAGTACATATGCTAGGCCACAAAAATCTCCTGAGCCGACCAAGTATAGAAATGAATACAATATGAGAACCAGTAATAAGAAGTGCCAGAGAAAAGTGATAATTAGAACAAAAATTGCAATATGAGCTCTGGTAAAAACATGCAAGATAACAGCAAAAATTGCAATATGAGCACTGGTAAAGATGGTTGCTGAAGACATTAGGTTTATAATAACCCGAAATTCATACATAGATGTACTCAAGGACACATGGCACAGCGGATAAAGTCGTTGGTTAGATCCAGTGACAGGATCCAAATAGTGTGAGTTCAACACCCGGTTAAGGCAGTGGAGAACTTGGAGATAACTGATAACTGACATTCATTAAACATGGAACTAGAACAGTCTACCTCAGTGAGCGAAAAAAGGGTTCAGTTCGACATTCCAACCACCTAGAGAAGGACGAAGCGTACAACGGCCGAAACGTTGCAACAAATATGGCGACAAATATGAGGACAATATTCCGAATAATGTAAATAGTGTACATAATACCTCATCTCAGAAATATAGATAAATCCTTATATTCCTGGAGTTTCCACAAATTTTTATGATCTGGACATTAGATATCAAAGTCACACGTAAACATAGGGTAGAAGCCATGCATTGAACCCTAATTAAACTAGTTTGGATACTCTTTCTTTCTCACTAATCAGCTATAACATTTGAACAGGAGAAAAGGCTATTAGCACAATATATACTTTATCGACCTTTAGAAAAAAGTCAAATATTTTTTTATTATGTGGACAAAATAACCTACGAACTGAAATAAATTGTACACTGATCTTGTTTGTTGATTTTAATGAAAAGGAATACAATGAACACACCAATTTATATATAACCGTTGTGTGATAGAGACTTGTTATATGAATGTTATAAATTCATTGTCTGCCGTTTTA